TAAACCTTTCTGCTTATTTATTTAATGAAATAAGCCTGTTTATTATTTATTTATGTAAATAAATATATCTGTTGCCATTCCACATACAGAAAACCATGCCAAAGACATCAGTTTAACAAAAGAATATATGGTAACACCTCTGAGTTAAGAATTCTGTGGGAAGCTGACTAGGTAAAACTAGCATTTGCCCCTTTCAATTCAGCTATGATTTAAGATCCGATTGGTAACTGGAGACCTGGCCAAATGTGACCTGCCAAGCATTGTCACTTTTATGTAGGAATAAATACAAAGATGAGCTAAGAAGGAAGCAAGAGGTCAGAAGGTGATCTTAAAATAATTTGATGCATTTTTAAGATGCTTGGATGTTAGAGTAGTTGACACTTAAAAGACTGAAGGTTGATGTATTTTGTAGACTGACCGTTTTTTAAGCAAATGTAATTTCTTACAATTCAGGTGTAAATTCTTATTTTCAAATGGATTGGATTTTTTTTCCTCTAGCCTTTAGGTTGTTTTTTTTTTCCTCATTTACTAGTTGTGTAAAATGAAATGATTTATATTTTAAATGTGTGACTGGCTATTGAGGCAAAATGTTTATTTCTCATACCCCTGAAAACTTTTTTGTGGGGAAAAAAAGTGTTAGAGTGTACTTATCCAAAGTAGCTTTAATTCATAGCTAAAACAGGTAGGAAATTACTGAAGGAATTTTGATAATAAAACTGCGGGGACATTGGGAAACCCTTTGTGTACAGAAATACAGCTGAGTGATACAAAGCCGTTTTGCCCCTTCAGCAAGTCCATTTCCCTTTTCATATTTCACACAGAATCACACAGAATTTCTAGGTTGGAAGAGACCTCAAGATCATTGAGTCCAACCTCTGACCTAACACTAACAGTCCCCACTAAACCATATCCCTAAGCTCTACATCTAAACGTCTTTTGAAGACTTCCAGGGATGGTGACTCCACCACCTCCCTGGGCAGCCTGTTCCAATGTGCCTCACAACCCTTTCAGTAAAGAAGTTCTTCCTAACATCTAACCTAAAACTCCCCTGGCACAACTTCAGCCCATTCCCCCTCGTCCTGTCACCAGGCACGTGGGAGAACAGGCCAACCCCCAACTTGCTACAGCCTCCTTTAAGGTATCTGTAGAGAGCGATAAGGTCGCCCCTGAGCCTCCTCTTCTCCAGGCTGAACAAGCCCAGCTCCTTCAACCCCCCCCGTAGGACTTGTTCTCCAGGCCCCTCACCAGCTTCGTTGCCCTTCTCTGGACCCGCTCAAGCACCTCGATGTCCTTCTTGTAGCGAGGGGCCCAAAACTGAACACAGTACTCGAGGTGCAGACCTCACCAGAGCCGAGTACAGGGGGACGATCACCTCCCTAGCCCTGCTGGTCACACTGTTTCTGATACAAGCCAGGATGCCATTGGCCTTCTTGGCCACCTGATTTCTCTTCTGATATCCCCCATTCTAAACTTAGAGCAAGCCAGTTGGCTGCCTTTTTTAATGCTTTGTGACTGTCTCAGTAGCTGTGGACTAATTCCACTAAGAGTCACCTCCAGGTGCTCACCTTCCCCAGGCATGGGGAGTGTGGTTAGCAAGCAGAGCCAGGGTGGTGGGGAGACATGGGCATGGCGTTTTGGGGAGGGTGACCTGTGCAGCCTGGCGAGTGTTGGGATAGGATTAGGAGAACCATCCCTGTAGGCTGGTATCTACAAATGATCATTGATTCAACTTTTTTTTTTTTTTTTTTTTTTTTTTTAAAGGAAGCCTTTTCACATGCATGGCTGTAATTTAATTCAAAAATGTGATAGAGATACAGAGAGATACACGTGTATGTATATAGATAGATAGATATTTCTAAAAATAGATGAGCACCTTTGTTTTTTTCAAAGCATTGTTCCGTAATGTGCTATTATTTTTAGAAGGTGGGTACTCCACCAGTTCAATACACCTGGAGGGCTGCGTTCAGCTCTGGGGCCCCCAGCACAAGAAGGATGTGGACCTACTGGGGCGAGTCCAGAGGAGGGCCACAAAAAATGATCAGAGGGCTGGAGCACCTCTCCTACAAAGATAGGCTGAGGGTGCTGGGGTTGTTCAGCCCGTGGAAGAGAAGAGTCTGGGGAGACCGTATAGCTGCCTTTCTGTTCTTAAAGGGAGCTTATAAGAAAGATGGAGAGACTTTTTACAAGGGCACGTAGTGATAGGGCAAGGGAGAGTAGTTTTAAACTAAAAGAAAGGAGATTGAGATCAGATGTTAGGTGGACAGTTCTTCCCTCAGAGGGCGGTGAGGCACTGGCACAGGTTGCCCAGAGGGCTTGTGGATGCCCCATCCCTGGAGGTGTTCAAGGCCAGGTTGGTTGGAACCAGGTGGTCCTTAAGGTCCCTTTCAACCCAAACCATTCTATGATTCTATGATGATATGTTTTAGAAGCTTTTTGTGCAGCAGTTTCTCCTTATTAAGCTGTCAGGCTTGACTGAGCCCTTCCGAGGAAAGCTTGCAGGCTGGCAGCTTGTACAGAACTAAATTTGCAGCCTCCAGCAATTTGCAAACAAGCGCGGTGGTGGCGTATTTGTGTTTTTCTCCTCTGAATGCTGGCAGTTCCATCCGAGTGGGCAGTGCCTCCTTGCTGGGCTCCTTTTGCTGCCCTGGACCTCCCACCAACGTGAGAAGCTGAAACATTCACAGTGTACCCGTGAGTTTTGAGGAGTACAGCCATGGATTTCTGCAGTCCCGACGTTTCTGTTCTGACTTCCTCCCTGCAGCATTAATGCTCACATGATTGTTAGATTTTGTCACCTTTGGATTTTCAGATATTTTTTAGGAGTCGTTTGAAATTAGTTCTCCTGGATTTAATGCTTCGAGATTGAAAGCTAGACATTGCATGCGTGCTCTCAGGTGTCCTTCAGTAAATGCCACCCTTCAGCAGAGGAGTGACATTTACTTGTGTTACTGAAAAAGTATTTTGCTTTATTTGGTCTGCTAAGAGAAATATTTGGTAAAGATTTCTGTTTAATATGAATGTGCTAGCCATATATGCTTAGTTATACATATTGTGCCCTGAAATCAGGAGCGTGTAATCTCAAGAAAGTAATTTCAGTATTGTTATCCTAAATTGACTAATCCAGTCAGTATTTTAGAGGATTTAAGCAGCTATAGCTACAAAAGGCAAAGTCACTAATGCTTTTTGAGAGAGTCATCCCATCTTTTGTTTGTAATAAAAATAAGAGGACAAAATTAACGTCTTCATAGGAAAAAAAAAAAAAGGATTGTCCTGCAATGTTAACTGCTTTTAGACTTTTAAGTAAAGATAAGTCATAAAATTAACATTCCTGATCACTTGCCAATTTCAGATTCTTGTGCTATTTTTAAACCAGCCTGCTTCTGCTTTTTTACTTAAGTGGCAGGTTCCTCTTTGACAAGAACGTGGAAATTTTTTTTTTCCTATCACCGTTAAATTGAAGGATGAAGAAACTTCTCACACTGTTGTTTTTATTTGCAGATACAAAAAAAAAAAAGCCTGTTTTAGATAAGTGTGGTGATTTTCTGGGCAAGTCAATAAAGGTTCAAGGTATAACTTAGATTAATCTGTTATTTCCTCCTGATAGCAGGCTGTTTTTTTACTTGCAGTAAAATAGAGGAAGTTCGGCATGTTTATATTTAAACCCATGCTACAGAGTGAAGTCTCAGAGGAGTTTAGAAGTGTTAATAACGCAAACCAAACTTCAACTTTTAGCTGGCAGTGCCACAGGCTTCTTGATTTAAAGATCAGTTAAAATCTACTGCAGGCATGCATGACCTTTTCTTTTATTATTATTATTTTGTTGTTGGCATAGAAAGTTTTCCTAGAATAGGGAACTATAGGGACGGTTTTCCTGTAGCAGGCAGGAAAAGGGCTGCAGGGAGCCGAACCTGTGGCAGCTCCAGTCCTGGGGGGACACGCCGCAGCAGCCATGGGCTGGCCTGATGAAGGAGGAGAGGAAAAAAAGAAGAGAAAAACAAGCCAAAGCTGAGTTTTGGTGTTCTCCTTCTGTCTGTGTCTGTGCAGCCTGCGGTGAGGAGGAATCAGTTGTCTGCAGGGCTGCCATCTGCCAAAGTGGTGCTGCTGGGCGCTGTGGATGCGAACGGAGGAGGACGGAGCATTGCCTACTCCAGTCCAAAATACAAAGTCTGCTGCAAGTGTTTCCTTTGCAGTTACCTTCTGTAATCATTAAGCATTAGGGGCGCCCACCAGGCTCAGGCAGCAGAGCGTGAACGTGACTGTTCTCGCCCGGGTGACTGTAAACAGGAGCGGAGCGCTGCGCCGCCTGCCCTGGGACTGCTTTTCCCCAGGGCTCTACCTCTACCTGCAGCATACCTCAGCTGTTACTCAGCTGCCTTACCAGCAGCACTGCTGTCTGGGACTCTCATGCATGCAGCATTAGCGGTTTTTAGGTTGTAACAGGAAAAAAAAAAAAGTAACTGTTTTTTGCAGCCTCCTCAGTCTGTTTTTTCTTGGGGTGGAAGGGGTTAATTTTGTTGTGATGTGTTTTATTCCCCCACTGTTATACCCACTCTTCAGTGCAACCTTAGTGCTTCCTAATTTCAGCTTTTGTTTTTACTCTGCCCCCAAAACTTGCGATTTTGACAACTTCAAGGCACAGTTTGCAGCTTGCTTTTGCCCCACTGTTACATGCAAGCAGCAGGGCTGCTCCAGTGCAAGGTACCCTGCGAAAAAGGGTGCAATATCTCTTATCCCAGCACAGTATGTGAAACAATGATTACTTATCAGTAGTTCTCCTATTTTCATGGCTTGGGGGTAGAGGGGAATTTTGGCTCACGAGAAAGCCACACTCACTTCTGTGAAGAAAAGGAGACAGAAAGAGGACCAGAGGCATTAGTCAAGGAATATTGTTGCCCATGTTGCCAGAGCAAAGATGTTTTATGGGACATGAATAAAAGTTTGGGGGTTCTGCCACTTTTCCTGTGCATCGATTGATCTGCTTTTTGCTCTTTGTTTTTCAGATTGCTTCTTTGGCGGGGCCAGGAGGGAAAGTTGAAATAGAACAAAATTTTCTCAATAACAAACTGAAGACGATAACAGCTTATTTTGGTGATCTAATAAGGCGTGACCTCACCTGAATTCAGCGTGGATTCTACCAAACCCAACCTCCTCGTTTACTTCTTTGCATAAGCTTTTGTACAGCTGACTTGTTCAAAATGACTTGAGCCATTTTCTGCTTTAATTTCTATTCCCCAAAAAAATGTTTTGTTTAATGCTACTGTCAATAAATGTTTTATAACAATTTGACAAATTTCTAAGAATAGAGTAGCTGTGGATGTAGAAAAAATCTTTATAAATGCAGTCTTGCAGTGTTCAAGTCCAAACAGCTGAAGAGGAGTTGACGACTGCTTTACAACTCTGGTGTGTGCTCCTTCAGTGTTTGCTCTGTTTTGGGCACTCAAATAGTTTGAAAGACATGGTGTGTCAAGAAATAATATCTGTGCTTCAGAAACAAAAGCATCTGTACATAATGTGGAACCAGGTGGTCAGATAAACCACCTTGTACAGCTCTGAGCTGACTTCTCTGGCTCCCTGTGCACTTGGAAACCCTTTCAGGTTTCCTTTGTGGCACACAGCTCCACACGTTTGCTATAGCGAGTACTGCAAGTACTGCAGCATGTTGCAGCATGGGGAGAGAACGGGGTGTGTTTGTTGGCAGCAGGGCTGTACCCTCCTCTTTGCTATTTGTTCCTTTTTTCCCCTTTGTTACAGATATTTAGGAGAAGCATTCTGACTGGAGGTTTGTCCCAGTAGCTTAGCTAAGGACCACACAGGTTTGTATCCCCTCCCACCCTTTTTGAGGCCTTTTGGATACCTGGTCCTTGTGCGGGTGTCAGGGAGTGGCAGGGGGAGCCCAGCCTTCCGACTCTAGGTTTGGGTGGAGAGCAGTTACTTTTTTACCAAGCAGAAGAGGAGTCAGGAAAGAAGAGGTGTCTGTAGGGCATGGCCATAGTATTCTCACTGAAATATGCTTACAGTAAGTAAGAGATTAATTCTGGTAACTGCTTTTGGGGTAGGAGTGTAGGAACACAGCTTTGAAGATACTAAGTGCTGATTCTCCTCTACCTGGAGTGCAGCAGATCATTATGTTGGAGGCAGCAAAGACTAAGCATTAAACCATGGATTTGCGTTGATGAACAAAGCTCTGTAGAGTAACTGCATAGAATAATCAACTGAGAGGAATTTTTTTTCTTCCTCCCTTGTAAGGAAGGAAATCTATCTTTTTGAATCAGGAGCCTAACGTGTTAGTATCTATGGGTTGTTAAAAAATACACATGCAACCTGACTCTGCATGTTTCAACTGCAGTAAAACAGCACCTAGGACATAACTCTTCCTAGCTTTACTGTCAATGCAATGCTAGACAGTTGCTAAATGTTAGGTGTTTCATCCATGCTTCACATGAGGTATATATGATCTTTTGACTTTTTTGTTGTTTGCATCACTGCATTTTGCCTCTGTGCTGTAGAAAGGAAGTGCTGCAATAGTGCTGGCCTCTGTGTCAGTATTTAAAGGGAGCTGGAAAGGAGAAAAGTTGTCTCTGCAATAAATCTTACAGAATGACAAGGAGTGCGGCAGTGGCAAGTAAATGTAAAGATGTTATTAAACGTCCACTACAAGCTAAATAAAAAAATAATCATGAGGCCAAATGAAAAATAAACTAATTTATACTGTTACAGTTTTCTGTACACTAAAATTTGACTGTATTGGGCTTACAGCTGCTTACAGAAAAGCTGTCATCTTATTATTTGATTATCTTTCCCTGCCTAAGTTAAGGAGTAGCTTTTGAAGCATTTGGGGATCTCACAAATGCCACTCACTTTGCCTTCGAAGAAATGGTCCAATTTCGTTCAGTGTCCAGTCTTCAAAATGGGGAAGCTGAAACATGACATAAGGCTTACACCATTTACTGTTCTAATGTTTGCTTCCAATATGAACTTCGTGGTGAACAGGAAAGTTCTATCAAAGGTTTCTGCTGAGCTTTGCAAGCACGTTAAAAATTGAAAATGGAAGAATATCCAAAATGGAAGAATATCCTTATTTATGCATGTTTCTATGTAACCAACAAGCTGCAAAAGAGCTTTTATTCTTTTCTTCTTCTTTTATAAATATAAATTGAAGTCAGAACGAACACTGCTTGGTTTTAGTAAATGGTTGGTGTCAGCATCACACTCAGACAGAGCAGGTGAAGTTTACCAGGGCTGTGAATCAGTCGGTTAAACCTAATTGACTGAACCTAATTAAAACTTAAACCTAAAATACATCTAAAATAGTTTTTACTACAGGATTGTCAGTAATTTCAACCAACAAACTCCATGGAAGACAGCTTTGGTCATGATGTGAGTTTCTGTAAAACGTGGTTCTGTTAAAACAGAAAAAGGTGTGCTGGAAAAAGGTTAATGTGGCTGAGACACAGTTAAATTTCCAGGCATCTCCACCCCAGAGTTTTAATACCCTGTTCAGAGTCCAGTAATATTTTGCATAGAATATGCAAGAAATTAGTGTTAGGCTACCAGGAAGCTATGTTGCCACTGTGAAGTAAGTAGTCCTAGAAGCTTGGTCTTTTGCTGATTGTAATCTGTAGAATAAGCTACAAGAAAAATGCAGAATTTCTTTTGGAAGTCAACAGCTATTCATACTAAATACCACGGATGCATACTTACACTTTCTGCCATGCTCCTGAGCTCCTGATCTTTTAGGTTTATCTTAATTAAATCAAATACTAAGCCCAGCCCATCAGTTTATTTGTTTCTGTTGGCGTGGAGAGATGGAAAATGCAGCCACGGCAAGAACGCTGCAAGGTGCAGTGCAATTGCAAATTTAGTGGGATCAGAGCAGGGTAAGGGTGAGGCTGAACAACCGTCCCTTCATGGTGGGAAACTCAGCATCGCTGCCCTTCTCTGAAGGCCGCCTTGTTAATGTTATGGTAAAAAGTCACTGTGCCATGAAGTTTTAACGTACAGGTTTTAGAAAACCTTCCCCAAGTGTAGTTTCTGAAATAACACCTGGCTCTGTATGTGCAGCTCGGGGCTTACACAAACAAATTCGTGCTACACCACAGCGATCGTGGTAACATCTAGAAGAGGGAAACCTCATAAATAGCTCAGGGAAAAAATTACTTGCAGTACCTCATTGAGCAAGGCGGTAGAAAATTGTCTCATTTTCACTTGGTTTGTTCTCTGCTTCCGTGTGCCTCATGCTCACCATTTACTTTAACTCTGCTTCCCCCCAAAACCCAAATCTTCCCACCCCATCTACCAAGGAGGGCAGTTGTGACCCATCATGTGAATGAATTGACCGTTCCTTTTTAGCACAGGTATCTAAGTATTCCAGTCCCTGGAATGTCTTGGTGGGGTTCAGAGTCTTTAGAATTGATTTTCAGTAGTAAGGAAGTTTCAGGTTGCTGTACAAAACCAGAACAAATCTATTTGGGCGAGTGTATTCAAGTGAGGAAAGCCTTCAGTGTGTTGTTTCACCAGTTTTGTGACTAAAACGTTGGGGGAGGGTTGCAGCGGAGGAATAAATGCTGCAAAACCAGGCTTGAAACCAATGCAGACACTTTCCTCTTCCAGCTGTCCAAAGGGGAAGCTGCCAAGCGCCCCAGCCGACTGGGTCAGGGAGGGGTGTTACTGATTTGCGTTGTAACTTGGGGGCCTGCTGAAGGGCTCACTGGCTGAGAAGAGGCTAAAGGAAGGGCTGAAAACAGGTGGGCAGGTTGAGCGTGGTGAGGCTGGCGATGTGCACAGGCTGCGAACGTCCTCGCTGCAACCATGCGGGGAGAAGGTGGGAGGAAAGGCTGAGCCTGCAAACAAGGCCTGTCCAACGCAGGGCCTGGTTTCCATCCCTAGTCAGTGTAGTCTTTATGCTTAAAGCAAGGTGTTCGGCTCCATGGTGTCCCTTGAAGGTGCTGGTGGCATCTCTTGTGCCTGGGTGATGTGAGCAGGGCTGGTGCCCAAGCCAGAGGCGTTGCAGCAGCTGGGCTCTGTGTGAGGGTTTCCCTGCGCAGGGGACTTCCCCAGCCAGGTGCAGTGCAATGCACCCCCACAACCACCAGAAGGGTATTGCCATTTACTCATCCTTTTCCCTACATGTCTCCACAGAAAGAGTCAAAGATCAGTGCCTTTTCAGCAAACATCCCACTAGGAGTGCCTCTGGGTGTCCAGGAGCCTGGGGTTGCCACCAGCTGCTCATGCGCCCTCCTTCAAGCCTCATGCAAATGGCTTTTCTGAGATCTTCCTTTCGGCACGTCTCTGAGGCCTTGGTCTATCACCCTCCTTGTTCCAAAACCAGGCAGAGTTTCGAAGCACTTCCCAGCAGCGCAGGCTTCATCGAAAACCTGCTGAAGCCAAGCCTCGCTCCGGGTTTTGTGGTTCACAGCCTGCTGAGGAGAAAAAGTGCTGTTGGAGGCAGTCTGGGTCTGATGACAGCACAGTCCTTCCTGTCTCTGTATGGCTCAAGTCATTCTCTTCCTTCTTCTCAAAACTGCTCTGCGACCTTCTTGTGAAACTGCTGTGGTTTGTTAGAGCAGCGCGATGGCTTGGCCAGAGCCTGCACACGGCGTGAATGTGAGAAAGGAGGCTCACAGGGTGCTTCGGTCGTACCGGGAATAACAAAACGCCTTTCGCTGGTCTTTTATCCTAAAAAGGTGCCTGAAGAATTTGTTCACAGAGAGGATATTTCTCTGCACGGTTACTGCAAATTGATGCAGTTTGAATAAATACATTTATCATATCACAGCATCACTATCGGGAGCTCAGGGGGCTCTTCACAGTGTCATACACAGCGATGGTAACAGTGGCAGGAGCCTTTGTGAAAGGCGGTATTGTGATCTGACAGCAAAACAGGTCCTAAGGTACTCATTAAATTGTTCCAGGCACGGGGACAGCCTATGATTATGTCAAACGGGAGCAGATTGTACGCTCTGGTGCACACGAACTTAGTCTGAAAGCCAGCCTAGGGAAGGTAAGCACCCACAGCCTTGCCCTGCAGGCCCAGCCAGTGGTCCCAGAGGGATGCTCAGGGGGGACCAAAGGTGACACTCAGGTGCTGGTGCCCTCCAGGAGATGCAGGTTGCACATGAGTTTATCCTTTTTTTTTTTTTTTTTTAATGTTTGGGTTCTCCCAGCAGACAAAAACTCAGATCCGTGCTTCTAGAAACCAGCTGTCCCCAGGTGGAAGCTGGAGTTCCTCAGGAAGAGGCTGTGTGGCCAAACTGGGGCTCCAGTTGTGGGTGAAATCTCGCTGGGGGAAGTGTTTTAGTGCTGGGTTTTGACACCAAGAACACCCATCTCTCGACAACAGTGAGTCTCGTGGAGTTTTTTCACCCAGTAGAGAAATTACTTTTCAGTCTTAAGTAACACTTTCAAAAATTGCTCCATGCAAGTGTTCCTGGTGGCTCAGGAGCAAGCTGAGAGCAAACAGTGCTGAAAGCAGGGCGAAATGCAGGTCCGCAGGAGCTGTGCTCAGGCTGCAGAGCTGAATGCCACAGTTCCTGGATTGTAGTTGCTGCAAGAGAAACTCTTTGTGTCCAGTTTTGCTTCTTGCTGCCAAGTTTTGCGACTTTACTGGCAGTCTTTTGGTTTTCGCTGCAGCTTGTAAAGAGCTTTGTCTGGGAAAAAAAAAAAAAAAAAAAAAAAAAAGTTTCATTTAAAAATAGATCTGTAACCCTTGCAGGTGAAAAAAAAAAGAAAGGACAGAAAAACCAAGACCTGGATGCATTATAATAGTTCAGAAAGCAGATAAAAATGTCTAAAATATAACTATTTTGCTGCTTTTCTCTGCTGCCACTTGGATTTATCAGCTTTATTTAAAGAGCTTTGGGCATGTATTACAACTAAATTAAAGAAAGAAACAGTCTGACCTCTTGTACATTTATTTTCTCTGTTAATGAGAACAATCACCTAATCCAAAATTAGTTCGTATAAAAACTCAAAGAGGAGAAATCATTTAATCTATTTGTAAGTAGAAATCCAGTTCACAAATGGTGCAGTGGCTACATCATCAAGGTCTGCCAAGAAGAAATCCAATTTGGCTGATTTGACAACATCAACACTGTCCAGTTAGCTAAAAAGAAAAAAATAAAGAAAAAATGAAAAAGAGCTATGCCAGCACAGGAGGTTCAGGGCTCAGAAAACCCTAGAAGATTCATGATCACAACTGAGCCCAGCTTAGGAACCAGTGACAAGCAGCTGTTTGATAGCTATGAACCATAACAGAAATAAACCTGATTTTTTGGTTCATTTCAGCAGAGTGTGTGGACAGACATGGTTCGTGGTGGGGATTAGGGACAGGGGAAAAATGCCTGGAAAGGAAATTCCAAGGAGTGACAGACTGCAGCTTGGCAGCGAGAAAGGACCCAGCTTGCACGAGGAACAAGAAGAGCCATCATCTGTAGATCACGAGTATTAGGTATCTGGCCTTGCAGAAAGTCTAAAGAGATAAGGGAAAAGCAGAAAGTCGTGCCCAGCCTCATGCTGGTGTTTGATGGGGTGACTGGTAGTAGCCTTGGAGGACTTCATGGATCTGCTGATAGTAAAGGAACTGCAGCCTTGCACAGCAAGACCGTGGTAGGCAAAGCTGAGGTGATGTCCGTGGCAACTCAGAACAATTTAGATAAAGCAATATTAAGAATTCCTGCTAGAGTCCAGGTTGCATCAAGCCAATGCCGTCAGTTCCT